CCGAGGCAGTATTGCCAAGTACACCGCGCAAGGGTTAAGATGAGCTTTGTGTGATCACAGGCATTCCAAGTGTGACCCTTCCTGATTCCTGACTTCACTCCAGCCAGAAACATGACTCTGCGAGGCTGTGGAGTGCAAGGAGGGAGGCAGAGAGGCTCTGGCTCCTGGCATAGGACAGGGGTGGAGGTGGGGCTGAGGGGCCTGGCCCACCAGGAAGTGTGTGTAATCCTAACAGGCCTGGCTTCTCAAACACCACCTCACAGGGACAGCGGGAGGTTGAGGGACAGAGGGTGTTGTGTATCTGGGAGTTAGACAAACTGTCTGCTTCACGTTTTCCTGCTTCCCAGGACCCAGCCTGGGGCCCAATGGTTGTAGGAGTTGTTTCAGAGACACCCTTCCACTCCCGGGAGCCATTTCTGGCCAGCCATGATTCACGCCCGTCTGAGCACTCCCCTGAATGAACCCATCATGGCTTTGAGCTTCCCTCTGGCCTCCAACCTGTTCCAGAGAGAGGTTTGTTTAGGTTGGGCCAGCTCTATTGCCTCCTCCCAGACTCCAGGTCTCTCTCAAAAGGGAAAACCTCCATTCCCTCAGTTGTGAAGTAGAGATCGTGGCAGCAGGGAAGTTAGTGACTATCAGCTTCCCTAGACTGAGCTACATAACCCAGGTTTCCTTTTCCTGGGTGTCTCCTGTGAAGATGGGTTATGAATGCTTCCCATAGGAGATGAGGGTGCCGAGGAGAAGAGGCAGCTCTGCCATGGCTCACACATGAGCTTGCTGCTCTGTTAACTTGCCTCAGTGATGGAGTGTTCAATCTTCTCCTGGATCCTCCTCTGTCTTCTCCTCCCCTGGGCCAGGGTGTGCATTCAGTTCTGTGACCAAGGACATAGCTTCTGCAGGACACTCCTAACACTCAGTTCAGAGCCTACAGGAACTGATGTGGGTGTTTGTTTGAAACAAAAACAAAGCTGCTTGGGACATAAAGCTTCAGATTTTAGTATTTTTCAGATTATCTAATGCTCTCATATATATACATATGAGAATATGTAGATATTTCCAGGGGGAAAGCCACAAGATTTCTACTTTGTTCTTGATCTTCCCAACTTTCTCTTTCCTCTCTCTCTCTCTCTCTCTCTCTCTCTCTCTCTCTCTCTCTTTCTTTCTTTCTCTCTCTGTCGTTCATGTATCTGTGTGCATGTGTGGACATCAAGTGGTATTCCTCAATTGCTTCTTCACTGTTATTAGATATTTTTTATAATGAATTTCTTGTTACATTTTTATTAGTGTATTGTACACACACACATGCACACACGCATGCACAGGCATACACATGTAGAAGTCACCATGTAGGTCCCAGGGATTGAATTCTGGCGATCAGTCTTACCTGCTGAGCTATTTCCTGGGCCCCATCCACCTTGCTTTTTTGAGGCAGGATCTCTCATTGAACCTGGAGCTCGATGAGTTGGCTAGACTTTCTAGGCAGCAAGATCCAGGGTTTCTCCTGCCTCTGCCTCCCCAGAAGTGGGGTTGCAGGTGCATGGCACAGCACTGAACTTTTACAGGGTCCCTGGGATTACACTCAGATCTACATGCTTGCCTGGAAACATCTTACAAAATGAGCCATTTCCCCAGTTCCTCTGTATTTGTTTCCCAGCTACCTCCCCTGTGACTTCAAGCTCCAGCAGCAGATGTAGATACAGCAATGTATAGAAACTGTTTAATCAGTCCAAGGTCTAATTCCGGTAAGGATGCTGTATATGCGGACACACATAAAATGAGATAATAAGTTTTACCTGTACCTATCTATGTACATCTGTATCCAGGTTGAGCATCCTTAATTTGAAATTTCAAAATCTAAAATGCTTTAAAATGTAAAACTCTTTGAGTGTGGATGTGACAATATAGGTGGAAAATTTCACATCTGGCCTAGTGTGATGGAACACACAAAATTATTAGAAATATTGAATAAAATTGTCTTCACACTATGTGCAAGGTATATATAAACCAAATGAATTTTGTGTTTAGACTTGGGTCCCATCCCTATGATATTACTATGCTATCTCAATATATATGTATATATATGCATACATATATGTGTGTATATATATATATGCATAATCTGAAAAATACTAAAATCTGAAACATTGATGCCTCAAGCAGTTTTGTTTTTGTTTCTAAAATGTGTGTGTGTGTGTGTGTGTGTGTGTGTGTGTGTTTCATTATATATATGTAGACCAGTCTGGCTCCAAACTCACAGAGACAGTCTTGCCTCGGCCTCCTAGTGCTGGGACTTGGGTATTTTGATTAAGTGATATTTAATCTTGTATTAGTACCCTCATCTGACTATTAACTAGTACAGGCAGTATAACGTATTAATATAAGAGATGAATAGATCTCGAGTTATTAGAAAGCATTTGATCATTATACATTTTTAAAAATTGTTTTATGGAAATTGGGCATAGTGGTACATGATTTTAAGCCATGACAGAAGACTGAGGCAGTTGGATATCTGTGAGTTTGAAGACAATCTGATATATACAGTGAGTTCCAGGACAGCCAGAGCAATATAGTGAGACCTTGTCTTGAAAAAAAAAAAAAGAAACAAAAATTGCTTTATGTGTTTTACTGACATGTATGTCTGTGTACCATGTACATGCCTGGTACCAGCAGAGGCCAGAAAAGGGCATTAGAGCCCCTGGAACTGGAGTATAGATAGTTGTGAGCCACTATGTGGGTGCTGGGAACTGCCAGTGCTCTGAACTACTGAGCCATCTCTCCAGATTATAAAGCAATTCTGTGTGTGTGTATGGTGTGGTGTATGTGTATGTGTGTGGTATGTGTGTATGTATGGTGTGGTGTGTATATGTGTGGTGTGTGTGTATGTAGGTGTGTGGTGTGTATATGTGGGTGGTATGTGTGTATGTATATGTGTGGTGTATGTGTCTGTGTGTGGTGTGTGTGTGCACATGCGTGTATGTTGTATGCACATATTGTGTGCTAGGACATGCACCTATGTGTGTGTGCAGAGGCCCAAGGAGGACATTAGCTGTCCTGCTCTCTCATTCCTACCTTACTCTTTTGAGACAAGGTGTGGTGGTATGAACGAGAGATAGACTCAGGTATTTGAACAGTTGGTGAAACTGTTCAGGGAAGCCATGGACAGTGCAGATTCGCTGAAGGAAGTGCAAAGTTGGTTGAACTTCAGGGAGGTTATTGCTGAAGGAAGAACATTGCTGAGACAAGTTTGAGAATTTTTATTTATTTACTTATTATGTATACAATATTCTGTCTACGTGCATGCCTGAAAAGGGTACCAGGCCTCACTACAGATGGTTGTGAGCCACCATGTGGTTGCTGGGAATTGAACTCAGGACCTTTGGAAGAGCAGGCAATGCTCTTAGCCGCTGAGCCATCTCTCCAGTCCCCCGAGTTTGAGAATTTAATACCTTGCCCTCACTTTCTCTTTGTTCTCTGCATCTGACGTGAGGTAAAAGATGAGATCTCTCAGCTTCTTGCTCTGCAACAATGCTTTCCTGCCACGGTAGACTCTCCTCCCTCTGGAACCATAAACCCAAATCCTTCTTTCTTAAGTTGCTTTTGGATGTGGTGCTTTATCACACACAGTAAAGTCCCTGATGTGCAGGGTCTCCCACAGAACCTGAACGAGGCTGGTGGCCAGCAAGCCCATGAGCCTTCTTTTTCCACGCCAACACAGTGCTGGAGTTCAGGTGTGTGTGTTCGTGTCCAGGTTTTTACACAGGTACTGAGGGTTGAACTCAGAGATGGCTGCTTTTCAGCAAGTATCCTTCCCCACTGAACTCAGCTCTACACGTTTTTTCTTAAGGGGACCTCGCTATATTGGGCTAGTTTTACACTCCCCGGTGCATGTTATCCTCTGAGTAGCAGAGCCTGTCCTCATTGACCACAACACCAGGCTTGAGCAAGCATCAGGACTGTGCAGAGGGTTTGCCTAGGTTTCTGGATTCAGATTGTCTCTGAGCTGGGACCACAGAATACAGATCTGGCGAGTGGGGGCTGCGGCATGGCTTTCTCTGCAGGATCTTAGGGGAAGATCCTGGCTAGGAGGTGAAAAACCCACTGTGTTGGCCATCTAGGGCTGAGTTCAGGGCAGGTAGGCTCAAATGCAATCCTCACCCTCTGACCCTGCAGACAGTGTTCTGGAACAAGTATCTTGCTGTATGTGACAGGAGCCTTATGGGCTTTTCATAAGGCCAATGTGTAGAAGCACTTGTCCTTACCCAGGGTCTCTGACTTGGATTTTTGTCATCGACAGCTTAGAAATGTACATCTGAGGCCCTGTTTGGTGGGTTTTACTGGTTTTAAAACCATTTCTTGGCTGGGTGGTGATGGTACACGCCTTTAATGCCAGCATTCGGGACACAGAGGCAGGTGAATCTCTGAGTTTGAGGTCAGCCTGGTCTACAGAGTGAGTTCCAGGACAGGCTCCAAGGCTACACAGAGAAACCCTGTCTTGAAAAACAAACAAAAAACCCAACAACAACAACAAAAATCATTTCACCGGGCTAGGATGCTCCTGTGAGTTGAGGTTGCCCTTTGGCACATGAATGGTTCCTTGCTAGTTCCAGGCAGCCAGTGGGCTCTTCTTGCATTGACGCTGGCGACACTATACTGTGTTACATGTTTTGGGGTACACATGAGATGAGGTTCAGGGCTGGTTTTTGATTCAGCACCTATGGAACTTTGACTTGGGGAGCTGCTTTCATAAGGTCTAGGGAGCCTTGTACCCTGACTAGAAACAACAGGTTTTTTTGTTACGTGGTAGAAGAGAGAAAGGACCCTGTACTGGGCTCTGTCTGAGGCTCTGTTGCCTGCCTGAGTGTTTAACTACATTTAAGTCTAACACCCAAGAGACACATGGTCAAAAGTGACCAGCTCTTAGGTGGGGTGTTTGTGCGGTTCTATTGACTATTGACTATTCCCCATGAACTGATTTTCAAAAGGAGGGACAACTTCAGAGCTAACTTCTTAAAACATTTAATGTTTTTGGGGGGGTCAGGGATAGACTGAGGCCACAGGGGAAAACAACCAAGGCTGTATCATCAGGAAGCATGGGTCTTCAACAGCTGGGCCAGGGGGGCTGGACCACAAGCTCAGTAGAAATGTTTTCTCTTTCTCTTTTCCTCAGTGTCTCAGAACTAGAAACATATTGCTTCCTTACACCCGGACTTGCTGCTGTTCCTTCCTCCTTACTTCTGTCCAGATGTCTGACAAGTCTTGTATAAACTGCTGGATCTAGCAAGACAAGGAGACAGCATTAACCTTGCCTAGCAAACACTCCCCACATCCCAAGTTGGACCATCTGGGAAGGAAGTTCGTTGATCTCATTCTCCACTGCCAGAGGAGGCAGCATTGTCTGCTTTCACAGGTTTCTAGATGACCTTAAGAATCAGGCTTAGCAAACATATTAGTTACTTTTCTCTCACTACTCAAAATACGGGACGGAAGCAACGTAAAGGCCTGGTGTGCTTTCCAAAGCTTGCACTCCACCGTAGGAGGCATGGCGGAATGGCTCAGTCCCTGGCGGGAGGAGCATGTGACAGTGGAGGGGACCAGTAATTCAAGAGCATGACTGGAGCAGGTGGATTAGCTGTCACCTTCAAAGGCCTGCACCCAGTAACCTACTTCCGCCAGGCAGACTCTGCTGGCAAAGGTCTCACCCTCCCAAAGTGCCACAAGCACTTAGAATACCAGCCTGAGGGTAAGGGGGAGGGGCTTCTCAGGTTCAGACTACAGCAGCAGGCTAGAACCAGAGGAAGGCTGGACTTGGGACCTGCTGAGAGGTAGTCAGACCCACATGGAAGGAAGGAAGGAAGATGGTCACAAACCGGCCTCAGAGGAAAACATTTTGCAGGTGGGACTGGAAATGGCTCAGGCAACATCAAAGTGCTCGAGGGGACCCAGCCCTGACGTTCACCGTGCTGATCTTGTGTCCGCCAGGGAAATTTAAGTTCTACTCACAAGCTTCTGTTTTGAAAGCCCCTGGTCAGGGTGACACGGCATAGACTCAGAGGCTAGGAAGATCCAGCTGGACTCCACACACAACAGCTCTGAAGAAATATCCGATTCCGGGGACGGAAGCCAGGATATGCTGGGCACGTGTTGTGGCACTTAGCTGAGCGCCCGGCCCAGTTTCTCATTTTTGAAAGGTGACCCCAGCTCAAGGGCAGAATGTGTTCAACCTCTCCTTTCACTTACACCTTCTCGTGCCGTCACCATCACCATCGTCATCATCATCATCATCACCATCTTAGCTACTTGGCCATTCGGCTTTCTAACAGCGCGCTTATTTCTGTGGGAACGAAGATGGATATCTTCGGATATCCTTCGGGCAATGTGAGGTGTTCCTGGCAAGGAAAATCAAGCCCAGATTTTCCTTGCCAGGAGCGCTTCTGGAAGTTTGATTCAGAAAAAGAGAACTTGTGAAAATCCTCAAGGATTCAGAATGCTCAGAATTTGGAGGAGGTGGGTTAGAAGCTCGGGCCTGAGCAGGGAGTGCACGGGTTGGGGCAGAGAGCGACAGGTCACCAATTCCCGGGGCATCCTTCCTCAGGACAGATAAAGGAGCCGAGCTAACCACACCAGGGAGTCTCAGAAACTAGGGTACCACAATGCCAAGACGGCATTTATGTCTCTGTTCTCGTATTCCCTCACAAGTACAAGTTGCCATTTACCATGGCAGGGTGCCCTTGCTGTCCTGTCAGAACAGAGCGAGCAACAGGAACAAACAGCACTGTCTGCCTATTACTGAGCAGACATCAAAGGGATTTGCCAAAGCATCCAACAATGCTAACTCTCCCCACAAAAAGGAGTCTTTTGAAATTTTAATCAACCCTGCGACTTCAAAGACTGGGGAGATGGCTCAGTTAGTGAAGGGCTTGGTATGCAAGTATGGAGATCCAAGTTCAGAGCCCCAGTCAGAGGTTTCCCTGGAAACCTAAGAGAATGAAAACCATTTCTGAACATAGAATGAAGGATGAAAGCAGCCAGCTTCCCAGGAAGGTGCCCAGCTTTGTACAAGTGGAGAAGGTAGCAGCCAGGCTCAGCCTCACACAGCCTCCCTTGCACAACAGGGCATTCCCAACAATGACAACTCGGGCCCACCCGAGACCCTCCTAGAGTTGTTAGCATGCGTGGCCAACAAGGCTGTTCTGGATAACTGATGAGTTCAACAGTGAGTCCCTATTCTGGTCCTGTGCTTTGAAGTCAACAGGGATTTCAGGTGCTAATGCAGTGGTTCTTAATGTGTGGAACCCTGACCAGCAGTACAGCTTGGGGAATTCCTAAATATGCACATACATGAGGGCTCATCTTAGATTTACTCAGTTGGAGATTTGGGTGTGCCCAGCAATTCCCAATCCCACCAGTAGGTGGTCCTGACCCTGTGAACATTCAAGGACCACAACTCTGCCTGATTCTTTCCTTCACTCAAGCAATTCAGAACCTTCTTGGCCCCGCCCCTCTGCTGGACCCAGCTCTGCATCCTCCTACCATGTCCAGTTGTTTATGTGTGTCCTCCAGGGACACATGCGTGGTCTCCTTCAGCTGCTTGCTCACGATCTGGAAGAGGTTCAGTGTTGCCATCTTAATGGTGCCAAGCAGGAGGGTCTTCTTGGCCGCTGTGTTCTGGATGTGTGCCCAGCGAGATTCCTGGGGAGAGATGTGGCAGCCTGTAAGTATAGCACAGTAGAGAGAGACTCCTCTGCGTGTGTGTGTGTGTGTTTGTGTGTGTGCACGTATGTGCATATGTGTGTGTGGTTCTGTATGCATGTGTGCACACATACAGACCTCATGTACCCAGAGTCAGGACTCCCTCCCTCTACCCTACACTGGACCTGCTGCTTACCCAGAAGATGACATCACTGCGGGCCCGGTCGAAGCGCATCTGCAGTCTTGCCAGCTCATTGTTGTGCTGGAGGATCTCATCGTCCTTCTCCTCCATGTAGCGGGCCAGCCTTGCCTTGGCACGTTCAATCTTCTCTTGGCCTTCTTGTGCCGACTGCATGAGGTCATGATGCATGCTCACCAGCGTCTTGTAACGGGCAATCACCTCGTGGATCTCTTCAAACTGAGGGGCCAATGGCCTTGGGTCACTGAATAGCTGGCTTCCAAGGGCCTGATGCAGCTACATCAGTCCACCACTTCTGACCAGCACACCAGGGCAGGCAAACCATAGCCATTAACAGGTATTATGAGAATGTTGGGTTCTCCTGGGTTTATATAGGCTATGCCCCATATGTTGGAGGGTTGCTCAACCGGACCTGAGGTTCCTAATACCAGCTACATATTTAAATACTTAGGAATCCTTTAAAAAGGTGGATGCCAAGTTCCAACCCCAGAGATTCTGATATGTCTTTGGTAGATTAGAATTTTACAGATTATCTCTAGGTAATTCCAGGCCCAACTCGGCTTGAGAATTGCTGCTAGGAAGTACTTTATCTCTTAAGGCAACAGTGATCCTATTCAAGGAGAATGTTCCACTCGTGGACCAGGAGCTATGCTAAAAGGCTACTGACAGAGCCAGAGATAAGAAAGCCAGACCCTGTTCTTTTGAACTTTATAGCCTTGAGGGTGATTGGGTACAGGGAGGACAGACAGACACTAGTCAGCTACAACACAGTGATAGACCATCTTTGGGGCAGAGGGGTGAGGCTGCACAGAGGCCGGGTACTAACTCCCTGCAGACTGCTCTTTAGCCTTTGTTCATCATTTGCATCAGGTCAGCGGGTTGCAAGATGCAGATCACCTGCTCCAACAGGGTCCAGAAGCACAGAGTTTGTCTAGCAAGCATCTCTACAGTGGGCAAGGTGGCCTCCAGTTCGATGACACCAATGTGCCTCCCCGGAGGCTCTCATAGTGTGCCTGCTCAGGGACTCTCTGAGCTGGTCTCAGTATTGTGACAGTTGTCCGTGGTAGATTGGTGTCCAGGAACTGTCAGATGGGTGTTTTTCCCAAATGTGCTTCTGGGGGAAGAGCACTCCAGGCAGTGCTGGAGGAGGCAGGAACAACCGGAAAAGTATTCGGGGAAGAGAGGAAGGCTGAAGGAGACTGGGGGTACATGTAGAGGTAGCCAGGCAAAGGCAAGTGGGTGATGCAAGGTGTGTACCGGGTAGAGGGGGAAACCTGAGTAGAGATGAGTGGAGGCTTAGGAAGGTTCAGAATACTTGCAGAAATTTAACATGGATAACCTGAGGTCCAGAGGTGGCGAAAAGGAGATGGATCTGGGAGAGAGACGGAGGAGGAGGGAAGGGTAGAGATAGGGGAGCCTGCCCAATAGTTTCCTGGGAGGTTGAGACCAGAGGATTGCAAGTTCAAGGTCTGCCTGGGCTATATAGTGAATCCGAGGCCAGTCTGGACAACTTAGTGAAACTCTGTGTCAAACTAAAACAAAGGCTGGGGATGTAGCTCAAGGGAGAGTTGCTTACCTGCACATACAAGGCCCAGGGTTCAACTGCTAGTAACACATGTGAGTACATGCATGTGCTCTCTCACACACACACACAGAAAGACAGACTGCTGTGGAGTATTCTTGTACACTTGTAAATTATGCTCTGATTGGTTTAATAAAGAAGCTGACTGACCAATAGCCAGGCAGGATAGAGTTAGGCAGAAAAATAAGCTAAGGAAAAGGAGAAGGGCAGAGTCAAGAAGATGCGAGCCAGCCTTTGGGAAAGCAAAATGCTAGAGGACAGTAATGTCATGAGCCATGTGGTAATACATAGATTAATAAGAATGGGATAATTTAAACATAAGAGCTAGTTAATAATAAGCCTGAGCAATCGGCCAAGCATTTGTAATTAATAAAAGCCTAAGAGTGGTTTATTTGGGAACTGGTGGCTGGGAGAGAAAAGTCCATTTACAACAGAGCACTCAGAAAACTACAAAAAGAGTATGAACTTTAACCATGAAGAATTTTAGTTTTAGGAAGCAGAGAACCCATGCCCTGCCTGTATTTTCTTCAGATCTTTCAGCAAGCACCACAAGGCATATGGAAGTTAGAACGAATGGATTCAATCAGAGCTACTGGGAAGAAATCTCACAATTGTATTCTGAGGTCAAAAGCCTCAGGTGCTCACGTGAAGAGGCTCCTGCTTGTACAAGGAGGGGACAATTTAACATCAATAAGAATAAAGATTGAAGCATGAATTAAAAACCACGAGTTCATAACTACACTGAAGGGTCAGTTTTGGAGACTGCTGACATCTTAATTTGTTATTCCGAACACTAAAAAGAATCAAGAGTTCAGTGAGGGCATAGCAGCCCCAACACTTGGTAGATAGGAGAGAGAGAGAGAGAGAGAGAGAGAGAGAGAGAGAGAGAGAGAGATCTTGAATTTGAGGCCAGCCTGGAGTAAGACAGTGAGACACTGACTCAAAAGAAGACTTCAACAAGCTTCTTCCCAAGACCCCCTAGTAATCAAGGAGCCAAAGACATTCCAAAGTTCCCCTCTTTATGTCAGTGGTTCACAGCCCCTTGGTAGTCGAATCACCCTTTCACAGGGATCACATATTGTATATAAGATATTTACATTACAATTGATAACAGTAGCAAAAATACAACTATGAAGTAGCAACAAAATAATTTTATGGCTGGGGGTCACCAGAGCATGAGGAACTATGTTAAGAGTCGCAGGGTCAGGAAGGTCGAGAACCACTGCTTTATATACTGTTCTGACTACTAAATTTTAAAATAGTTTTATACCCCCTCAGTCAGTACCTGTCCCCAACCACCGAAGAAATCAATATTATAATTTTTATCAGCAAGGACTAATTTTACCTGGTTTCAAGCCTATCACTAGAACCACAAATGAGTTGTCTTTTGAATCTGGTCTTATTTTGCTTAATATAACGTCCATAATACTTAGGAAATGTAAGAAGTGGTGTGGAAAAACTAGTTTGAACCTTGATTAAACAGATCAAGTGCAGCAGGGCAATTCTAGATATGACAAAGCTGACAGGGAAGTCCATGAGGTCTTAGCCCCACATGAAGAACTACAGGCAACTAAAGAATGCTGAGACCAGGAAAAATCGTCCTCCCCAGGGAAGAGCACACAACTGATGATCCAATACCAAATGGTCAGATCTGAAAGCATACATACAAGTAGCATTATATAGACAGATATATATGTATATGCACATGCATATACACATGTACACATATATACATATACATGCATATGCATGTAATAATAACTAATGAAATAGGTCATGAATTTGACAGCAAGTGGCATGGGAGGTCTTTCTGTCTATGTGTTGCTTTCATTGGTTAATGAATAAAGAAACTGCTTTGGACCTATACCAGGGCAAAACTTAGATAGGCGGGGAAAGCTAGGCTGAATGCTAGGAGAAATAAGGGTGGAGTCAGAGAGACACCATGGAACCGCCACCAGAGTCAGACATACTGAAACTTTGTCGGCAAGCCACTGCCATGTGGTGATATATAGACTAATGGAGATGGCTTAAATTAATATGTAAGAGTTAGCTAATAAGAAGCTAGAGCTAATGGGCCTAGCAGTGTTTTAATTAGTACAGTTTCTGTGTGATTATTTTGGGACTAAGTGGCTAGGAACTAACTAGCAGCCTCCTCCTACAAGCGAGCAAGGAGGGGAATATGGGAGAGTTTAGAAGGAGGAAATGGGAAAGGGAGACAATGCAATTATATTATAATCTCAAAAATAAATTTAAAAAACAAAACAAGTGCACATAGAGCCTTATTGTGACAATTGGGGACTCTTTTAAATGTCAACTAGTTGTGTATTTGCTACTAAGAAATAGTATAACTGGTTTGACAATGGCATCGTAGTTATGTTTTTTTTTGGTGTATTTTTAAATTTTTATTTTCACTTTATATGTCTTAGTGTTTTGCCTGCATGTATGCTATTTGCATACCACATGCATGTAGTGTTCCTGGAGGCCAAAAGAGAGTCTAAGACCCCCTGGTTACAGACAGTTGTGAACCACCAAATGGGTACTGGGAGTCTAACCCAGGTCCTTTGGAAGAGCAGGCAATTCTTTTAACTGCTAACCCATCATCTCTTCAGCCCCTGTTCTGAGACAATCTCACTGTGTAGCCTTGGCTGTCCTAGAGTTTGCTATGTAGACCAGGTTAGACTCAGACTCCCAGAGATCTGCCTGCCTCTGCCTCCCTAGTGCTGGGATTAAAGGAATGTCCCCAACACCTGGATTATGTCTTTTTAAAGCTCCCATCTTTAGAGGAATATGCTGAAATTCCTCAGGAATATGACTGAAGAAATAGCATTTGCTGCAAAATGGTGGAGGTAGGAAAATGTGGGTCATACAAGCGGCCTTTGCTGGACCTAGGTGATGAGTGATGGGTGTTCTCTAGAATATATGGTTCTACTTTTGTCTGTTTGAAATTTCCCACTAGTAAAAAGTTCCTGAAAGTATCACTGACTGGTTATGGGCAATTGGAAGAAAAAAAGAATTTTTAATATTCTATGGAACATGGTAGGATAACTGTGATTGACAAAAATGAACTGTACATTTCAAAATAGTACAGAGGATCTCAATATCACCAACAAAGAGGAAATCATAGATGTTTGAGGTGATGGATATGTCAGTTACCACAATACTATGAAGTACACACACATGCATGAGCATGAGCAGGCACACACACACACACACACACACACACACACATCTAAATATAACTTATCAATGTGTTCGATTATCATGTGTCAATTAAAAATACTATTTTAAGAAATCATGCTGCTGGACAGATGACTCAGCAGTTAAAAGCACTAGCTGCTCTTGCAGAGACCTGGCTTCGATAGCCAGCACCCACATGGTAACTCACAACCACCATAACTCCAGTTCCAGGGGTTCAGTGTCCTCTCCTGGCCACAGAGGGCACCAGGAATGCATGTGGTGCTCAAACATATGTGTAGGCCAAAACATTCATATTCACAAAATAAATAAAAAATAAATCCAAAAAACAATATTTTAAAAATGAAAAACATAAAATCATTGAGAAAAAGCCAGTATGGACAGTGGTTTAATCCCAGCACTTGGGAGGCAGAGGCAGGTGGATCTCAGTGAGTTTGAGACCAGCCTGGTCTACAAAGTGAGCTCCAGTACAGCCTGGGCTACACAGAGAAACCCTGTCGCGAAAGCCAAGTCATAGAAGGTTATGTTATACAACACATAGTTTAAGGACAGCTGATAGTCACAAGTATAAATACTCATGAAAATGAGAAATATAAAAACTATAATACTGGTGACCCCTGAAGAGAGGAGAGAAAGATTGAAATTTGGAAGGGCAGATAAGAGTTTTAAATTACCAGTAGTGTTTTATTTCAGAAAAAAAAAAGAAATGGGGGGGGATTAAGATTATACAAAGCTGTATATTGAGTTCTTGAAAGGTTAAGTTTTTTCCTATGTTTTCTAGTTTTGGGGGTGGGGAGAGAGGGAGAAGGAAGAGGAGGAGGAGGTTGTAGAATACAGAGGAGCAAAGGGCAGAGGTGACGCCAGATGAAGCACGCAGCATGAGGAACGAGGAAGGGGCAGGGGTTGGATTCCAGAAATACTTAGGAGGCAGAGTAGGCCATATCTGATTGATGGCTACCAGACCGGGGATGGGGTAAGCCGCAAGCGCAGTTTTGGCAGTACTGTGATAAGTCTGGGCCAAAGTCAGTCTTGCTAAAGGAAGAACAGGGGAAGAGGCCCCAGAGGAGCCTGGGAGGGAGGCAGCAGAATAGAAGACAGGAGGAGATGTCAGAGAAGGGATGCCCACATCCAATGTTGCAAGAGGTGATGCCGGAGGAGGGCTGAAAGTTTCCTGACCTGGAGTGACAGGGTCTGCAGAGGTGGGGGTGGGGTATTTATGACCCCAGCTTGGGGCAGAGGCACAGCAGAGTGGGGAAAATAATAAACTATGCCATTTCCAAGCTATGAGGGCCTGAGTAGGTGCCTTAACCTTCCCAAGCCTCCGTCTCCCTGGAAAGAGACAGTCTGCTCTTCCCATAGTCTGACAAGAGGACAGAAAGGTACAAACTCGCAGTCAGCCTGCATGATGCCCGCTCCAAGTCTTTGAAGGGAAGGGATTTTTCCACTTTTCCTCTCCTCTCTGTCTGTCTGTCTGTCTGTCTGTCTGTGTGTCTGTCTCTCTCTCACACACACACTGACTCAGACATACACAAACACATATGTAAACACTCAATTCACGTATAGCCGTGCACAGATAATACCGTCAGGCCCCCCCACCCACTGAGAGCTGCACCCAACCTCATCAGGGGCCTTGGTCATCTGTCCCCCAGGGTTGCTGCCTCTCGCCAGAGCAGGATAACCATTCCAAGGACCCCTAAACTCTAGCCAGCTGGAGCTGAGCTCCATTCCGTTAACTTGGGGGAAGAAAAGGGTGCTGAGGAGGGCCCTGTGGCACGGCACTGCCAGCCTGGGACCCACCTCCGAGTTCTCCACCACCTTCTCCAGGTACTTGTTGAAGATGGCGTAGTCCTGCAGCTTGACACTCAGCCTCTGGTGCTCCAGCTTCAGAGCGGTCATCTCCTGCTTGGCCTTGGCCAGCTCCCTCAGGCGCTGCCTTTTCAGTTCGCGCTCTTTGTTGGCTTTTTTCAGGGCTCGAATTCGTTTCTGGTCATTCTCCTGGGATGAGTGAAACAGAGTAAATCAAGCAAGCATTTCACCCCCTCTCCCAGACCCTAAGTCCCTTCTGTTTGCTGAGCTCAGATCACCAGAAGGGCGGGCAGAGCTTGCTGGGCTGCCTAAGTTGGAGGGGAGGTGTGAAGAAAAAGGATTTGGTGGGGCTTTGGTTGTTTGAAAGGATTTAGTAAAGTCAAGGGGCTTCCGTGGCCTAAGGAGGCTGTGAGTACAGAAATTCAGCTCAAGGTCAAGAGGGAGTCTTGGGGGGGAGGGAGGGTGCAAGCAGGAATTTCAGGTTCTGTGGGATCTGGTCCCTGGACTTCAAAGAGTGGGCGATGGGAAGAGAACACATAAAAAGAAGGGTAGAGAAAGGTCTCTCTTGCATCCAAGAAGGCCAAGGAAGGCTGGGTGGAAGAGCAAGTCTCTGACAAAGCTTTTCTGGTTCTGCTTTTAAAAAATGTGTAGGTGTCTGGGCTCGACCTGAGACCTGCTTGAGGCAGAAGTTATTAATGTCTATATTTGCAGCAAGTTCTATGAGATTCCATACCTGCTGAGTGCCTGGAAGCCATTTGGAGAGTCCTTAATCCTCAAACTTCCTGCCCCCCCAAATACTCCATCAACTTTGCTCTGGCGCAGGTGGGCTACATCTCAAAAGAAAGTGTTCTGATGCATTGACTTCCTTGCTCTGCACAGTTGTGTGTGTACAGTGGAATGGAGGGCATTAAGAGCAGGGTTCCTCCAGTAGAGGGCAGCAATGGGCCCCCCTCCTGTAGAGCCTGGCCCTTCAGGGCTTCTCTAGTGCTGGTCCAGGACGAGGATTGCTGGCCAGTAAGGAGGTCTGGGGAGGTTTGCGTTTTGTTTACATTTGTATTTAGTTTTGTGTGTGCACATGTATGAGTATGTACATGCTACAGTGCGTGTATAGAGGTCAGAGGACAATTTAAGGGAGTCGATTCTTCTCTCTTTCCAACACGTGGGTCCTAGGGCTCTAGCTCAACCTTTAGGCTTGGGGGCAAGTGCTTTTAGCCACTGAGACACCTTGCCAGCCAAAGTCAGGATTTTAGCACCACTAGCTACTCTTCCAGGTACTGATTAATGGTGAGTGTTGTCCGGGACTATCCCCTGAGCCAAACTGCAGCCATCTTTTGTGCCAAGTCACAAAAGATCATCACAACTGGCCTTGCTGACTGTTGGTACTCCCTCACTGCAAGGGGATGGGGATCATGGGACCCTGAGTATCCAATCACCTCTTCCAACTAGTTGTATGCAACCCTGCCTTAGTTGCATGTGGCCCTAGTGTTTCTGGGGTGGGGGGAGAGTTAGAGTATATAGGTAGGGGGGGACTAGGGGAGAGGCAATGTCTCTGTAACCATGAGGAAGCCATTATCCATGCTGGGTACTAATCTTCCAGTTCTGCTTTAGGCTCATCCACGCTCCCGCTTATAACCACCAACTCATGTTCTGTAAGTAACCCTAATAAATACATTGGCTCCCCAGGGTCATTGAGACTTTAGACATTAGAGGGAAAACACTGCCTAACCCCCTAACCCAGGGCAGACATTCCTGAAACAGGGAGTTTCTTACTAGGTTCTTTGCTTCACGGGCCTTCAACAGTTCCCTGCCTTCATCAGTCCCCCATTTCAGTGCAAGAACAGAGATGGAGAGAGCGTGAGTGGGTGAGTGGGTGAGTGGGTCAAAACCCTCTGACTCCCTTCTGTGTCCACGCATACTACTCTCTGGTAGGCGCACACCCATCTGTCCATCACACTTACTGATCCATCCACCCGTCCACTTGATATACTGTTTCAGGTACAGGCGAGGAAATAGGAAAGAACCAACTAGAGATCAGAGACATTACAAACAGCATGGTTGCATAGAAGATGCCCTGGAAGGGACCAGACGCTGCTGGAACACAGAAGGTGCCTTTAACCCAGGGCGAGGAGCCTACCAAATCAAGTACTGGGGAGGAACAGTTTGCCTCGCATCGAGTGTAAATCCTCCAGCCTGCGGCCCACACCGCTCCATACCTGGATGAATTGCTCAAACTTCTGGATGTGGGTTTTCAGCTGCTCCTCCTTGACGCCTAGTTCCTCCCAGCGCAGGTTCAGCGTTTCCATTCTTCGCTGGAATGTCTTTAGGGGACGAGAGAAGGTAGATGTCAGGGAGCCCTCTACCACGGGTGCTCAGAAAGATTCTGAGTGTTTTATCCCAGAAGTGAGTGTCTGGAAAGGCTGAGGAAGTTGCTTGCCTGCTTCTTGTGTTCCATGGCCTGGTGCATGACCTTGGCTTCTTTCTTCTTCTCCAGGAGTCGGATGGATGCAGACTCCGACTGCTCCTCAACATTTGGGAACTTCCTGCCCAAAAAGTGTGAGACAGGGGCCTTCTGAGGCAGGAACAGGCTGGGCAAGGGAGTAACTCGGGGAGACAGAAGCCCATGGAAAGGAAATGGGATCTCTGCTCTTAGTTTTTGGAGCAAGCGAGGGATGGGGACCCAGTCAGGGTGGAGCTGGATAATGGGGTTAGGCGATTGGGAACATTAGGCTGTGGGCAGCGGGGCCGTTGTGTGGGTATGGATGGTCCCAAACACTCACTGCAGCAACTGAAGCAGCCGCTCCCCATACTGCAGCCGGAAGTATTCCGCCAGGTCCTCCTCTTCCATGATGCCCAAACTCATGGTGGCAGCTACCTAACAGCCTAGCTGGCCTTCTTTTCAGAGTGAATCTATGAGTGGCGGAGCCACAGGGCACTCAGGAGTGGTGACCGGGTTCTTGCCCACCTCTCTTCCTGTTTTCAAAGTCCCACAGAGAGTGGATATCTGAGAGACACAACAGAAGCCAGTCAGAGGCTGCCTTAGTATGATGCGCTCTTGCGGTGATAGATCTGGTTACCTAGCAACAAACCGCTGGGTTCTGTGGACTGTATCTGGAACTCACGGTTTGCCCTCTGACCTTTGTCCCCACTAACCTCACTCCCTTGCTGAGGTCACCTCTTTGTTCCCGCTCGCACCCTTCAGGAACTCTGGGAAGAAGTTAGGCCTGATTATATTTCTGGTTGCTCCCTTGTCAGGGAGGCAGGGTATGGCCATCCACCGCGGAGAAGGGAAGTTTGTCTGGAGAGACCTGTGTGTGAAGCTGGCTCCTGCAGCTTCCTTCCTCCGTTGAGGGATATATGAGGGTGGTAAAGAAGAAAATCGGTAGAGAAGACGAGGTACTTAGTCAACCCCAGAGGGGGAGAGTGGGAGGTGGGCAGAGAGGTGTGGAAAGAAGGAAGTTGAGACATATTAGAACCAAGTAGTGGGCCAAGGATACGTAGGGGATACACAGAGTGGCCCCCTGGAAATGCGGAAAAGGGCCTGGCAAGGCCCCTTTAACGCGAGAGTGAATTTTAAGTACAGATAAAATGCACTTTCGAGACTTAAGTGCGGGTTGGTGGGTGGGGGAGTATGCCAAAATACAGTAACAGAAAGGTTCCCTTGTTTAATCGGTTTATTTCATGATGGTTGCCTTCCTCCATTCCACGGGGCACATGTGTGTAAATACTTAGCTGACCTGAGGTTAAATCTGTGTAAGTTTGAGGGCCCTATGTGAGAGAGCACCGTGGGGACCTCTGCAGAGACCTCTCCTTACGTTAGAACCCGGAGCTCACCCCTCCCTGCTCCTCCTCTCAGCCTGCCATGACTCTCGCTTCTCTCTGGATCTAGTAGCTCCTTGTGAGCCCTGTTGTGGGTCAGGTGCCAGCTATTCCTAAGTCCCCATCGTCAGGAGTAGCGGTTGGGTATACTGCCCACTCCTGTCCTATCCGGTTCCACCCTCTGTTGCTCATTAAGGCAACAGAAAAAAAAAAACCCCTACCCACTCAGACTCACCCACCCATCCCCCTCGTCACTCCCAACTCACCCTAAATCCCTAATCCCAAATTTCAGATAGACCCAGCAGGATGGCAATAAAACAAACAAATGTTTCTAAATTTCGCAAGGGTGTGTGTGTCTCTTCTTTATCCAGACTGTCTGACAGTCCATTAGGGATTTCTCTATTTCCTCCCCTTCTCTCCCCAGGTGGTGGCTTGGTTTGTGGGGGGCCTGTGATGATGCCAACCCTTGAGGAAGTTGGGTGCTTCTGGAATCATCTGTTACTCTGGAAGGTAAGGCACACATACTTGCCTGTCAAACCAGGCGGGCCGGGGTCAGATTGGTCAGTACAAGAACTGAGCTGTGCTCTCCTTCCCACGCAACCCCTGGGTCTCAAGGCTCTATGTGCTGTTTCACATGGTGCCCTGCATGAGTCAATCTTGAATCCAGGCACCGACTATGATCCTGGAAGGCAGCAGGAAGTTACGGCCTTCCCAGGCATTAGAAAGCAAGGCTTGTAATCTCAGCTCTCCTCTGCTTCCCTGAATTATACTTTCTTTCCAAAACCTTTCTCCATCTCCATCTTTACCTGCCCACCCCACCCCACCCCCAGTCTCCCCCATATCTCCACCTACTGCCCTTTTTAGTCTTGCTATTTGTCTCTGAGGCAAATCTATCGAGTTTGTTTAATTATCTAATGGGCTTAGATGCTGGAAACCAATAGGGATATTTTGCTCTCTGTCCTGTTCCACTATCCTCTGACACTGTTATCTGGGGTACCTAGCCTAGGGGTACAAGGATTGCCTAACATACACCAGAATCTGTGTTGGACTCCCAGAACTAAAGGGAAAAGGGGGGGAGGGGAGAGAGAATAGCAGAAAATAAAAAAAACATAGGTTAACATCTTGAAAGCATTACCCTGGGATGGTGTTGGGTATGCATTCTCCCAGCTATCTTGGAGGATGCTCTTCCAGGCAGTGGCCAGGGTCCAAACCCCTTCCTTCTGTGGCTCCACTGTGTACTCTTACCTGGGTTGGTCAGATCACTGCTGGAGAGAAAGAGAATACACACAGACGTTCCTTCCGCTCTTAAGTGCATCGCTGCCTCCTCCCCCCTCACTTCTGACGATGCAAGAGGCTGGGCACTATGTTGCTGTGTTTCCAAGAAAAAGAAATTACTTTGAAAAGCATCCAAACAGCCTGTGCTGTCCTCTTTTTGAGAACCGAAAAGGGTGTTTGGGGTAAGCAGAGCTTAAGAAAGAGCCCAATAGTAGACAAAGAGAGAAAATAGGCCAACATATCTCAGATGCAAAACCTTAATGGCAACATTAGCAAATTTAATTTAGTTCACACAGTCTCCTGCCTCTTGGGAGAGTTTCTTCCACACAGTGGTCAGATCTCAAATACATTTCCTGGGACCTCCTGCTCAAAAGAGGAATTTGAGGAGAATAATCAGGACCTGCATGCAAGATCCCTGAACATTAGGGAATCTATTAATAAAATTAAGTCTATTGAAATTCTCAAGAGAATTGCTATTGTGATAGATGTCAATGTGGCACTGAAGATGTGTACATTTATCTTTTTAAGAGATACTAGAGAATTTACTGGGTCTGGTGGAGCACACCTTCATTCCCTGCACCGTGCAGCAGTGGCAGGAAGATGTTCCAGGTCAGCTGGTGCTACATAGAGACAGCTCGTGTGTGTATGTGTGTGTGTGTGTGTACATACATATGATTCGAAAGTATTTTATTACATGTGTAAAAGAATATGAACCCAAGAGATACCATTAGCATCATGTCAAAGATATTCTTGCTAAACTTAGGGATGTGACAGGTTTTCTGCTGTCACTACATCCACTTAGCATTGTTTGGGGAGCTCTAGCTAGTGTGAAAATGGCAAGAAAATTAAGTTTTTCTTTTCTTCTTCTTCTTTTTTTTTTAACACAATGGCAGATGATGTGATTGTGTACTGTGAAAATTCAAGAGGATGGTTAATTTCAACGATTTGGATTTAATGTGATACTAGGCAGTTTGCAGAGGGAACGGAGCTGATTTGTATGCACGGACACTAGAGGAGCATTGGTGACAAAGTGAAGTGACAGAACTGAGCTGCAGAACAGCATGCCCAACAGGATGCATTGTGTGCATGCGTGTCGTGGGGGACAGGCAGGCTGCGGGAGGTTGTCACAAGAGCTCTGGAGACAGGAATGGCATGCGGTGGGGATGTAAAAAAAAAAATTACTCTCCATATTGTTTGTTCTATTCGCTTATATATTTCTTTTTTCCCCTTAGAAACCACACACACACACACACACACACACACACACGGATTTTGAAACAGAGTTTCTCTGTGTAGCCCAGATTGTCTTGGAACTTGGTCTGTAGACCAGGCTGGCCTTGAAGTCAGTGGTCTGCCTGCCGCTGCCTTTCAGCGGGATTAAAGGCGTGCACTGCCATGGATAACTCTGTCATGTCCGAGGATCCACCACACTGTTTGCCATGATGGCTGCAGCATTTTACGTTCCCACAACTGGTGACAGGAAAATTTCTTTGCGTCCTTGCCAGGACTTGGAGTCTCTGCTTTTCCCCCTTCATGTCCGTCACTCGGATGGGTATGAGGTGACATCTCACGGCCAAACTGGGTTCCTTTTTTGTTATAATGGTAATAAATGAACCTGTTCAAGTATCAATTATTTAAACAATGTAGATACAGTTAGAACTCTATTCAACACCCAGTCTTGTGTATCAGAGGTGACCATGCGCTCATCCAACACTTATGTCCAGTGCTGGAAAAGATCAGCACTTGGTCTTTTTTGTACAAGAGTGTATAGCAGGGTTTCTTTTGGGTTTCCCAAATCACGACACGAGACTTCTTATTAGTCATGAGTGCTCGGCCTTATCTTATGCTTGTCCCGTGAGCTCTTAGAACTTAACCTGTTTCTCGTCAACTACATTTTGCCTTGGGACTTTTTACCTTTTTTTTTCTTCTATATATCTTACTGCCTGGCTGCTGGTCCCAGGAATGTCCCTCTCTTTCTGCCTCATTCTCTCCCCCTTCTTACTCCTCTTCCTGGAGTTCTCCTCCTACTTATTCTCTCGGTCCCACCTAGCCCTCTTCTGCCTAGCTATTAGCCATTCAGTTTTTTTATTAGACCAATCAGGTGCCTTAGGCAGGCAAGGCAAAACATCAACACATCTTTTCATAATTAAACAAATGCAGCATAAACAAGCGTAACACACCTTTACACAGTTAAAGTAATTTCCATAACAAGAGGGCCTGATTTAGTCAGAGGAGTCTTGGTCTCCCCTGTTCGAATCAAAAGGAAGTTTCACGTAAGGAGTAGAAATTCAATCCAAGGAAATCAGAGGCATACTGAGTGAAGGCCGCCTTCTTTATATAACAAACAGCACAGCAAATATGGTATCATCAGAAATGTGGGACTTGTTCTTCATCAATCTTTCACAGGAGCCTCACAAGGAAGAGATGTGTTTCCTGGTCTTATTGACTCAGAACAGCACACAAAGCCACGATCAGGTATTATCTCTCTATACCCACATGTTGTTCACAACATATCTGGGGTGTGGGGCATTCTGGGTTGGGGGGATTTCCTTTCCATTCCTTCCTGATTTCAGCACATAGTTTTAGACCTGGTCACCACATCTCACAAACATGTCCATTGTTCTGAGTCAGGAGCCTGAATGGGTCACAAAGGAAGACTAGGGAACACGGTATAACTGAGGCTATGGGTTCAGCTGAGCTTGGCAGAGGGAACTGTAGAAGTCCAGAATGTAGTGAGGCGGATTTCAATGTTTTCCGTAGAAGGTGGTTAATTCGGGGGGCTGGAGAGAGAGTTCAGTGGTTAGGAACATTTGTTGGTCTTCCAGAAGATCAGAGTTCAATTCGCAGCACCTAATTGGTAGCTCTGTAATTCCAGTTTTGGGGGAATCTAACATCCTCTTTTGGCCTTCACAAACACCAGGCATGCATGTGGTACACAGACATACATGCAGGCAAAACACACATGCGTATACTTGAAAATACTAAAGAAGTCAGCTAGTGCTGAATGGGTTGACTCTACAGCATACGGGCAGACTGGGCACATGGTTAGAAATTACTCCAAAGCACATTATTAACTTGGTGACAGGTTGGATGAAAATTTGATTTGTTTTTAAAGGCAAATTTTAAAAAGCGCTTCTCAGAAAAACCATTTCCACACTGCACCTGTTATGTGCCCGGCACTCTCCTGGACTGTGGGTGGGTCCTGACCAGCCAGGAGAAACAAATGGCACCCAGGTTTTGGGGACAACACGTGGGGATAAGATCTACAAGGGACCCTCGCTGTCACCACCTCCCACCCCCACTGACTGTGGGTGGGGGCTGGGGAAACGGCAGGAGGCAGTGGGTGCCCATAGCCCCTGGCAGCTCCCATCCACCCTTTCCTCCCAACCCGAGGCCTTGGGGATCTGAAAGTCTGAAGCCTGAAAATAACTGGGTTAAAAACACAAAGTCCTCACCCGCGGCCCAGAGATGAGCGGTTTAGTGCCATGCAGACGAGCGTGACATGCCAACTTCATGAATTGCCCACGTTAGTATTCACACGGTGCTTCGCACATTTCAGAGTAATCTGTAGATTTGGTTCCTCACTTCTTAAGAGTTCCTAATTATTCATAGATTTTTGTGGGAAAAAGAAAGCAGATTGTGAATTAAGTGAGTTACTGAGACATGTAATTTCTAAAGCAGCGCTATAAAAAACCCTTTCATTTTCCCCCTCCGAAGTATTTTAATGTTGATGAAGTGTGGTGTTCCAATGTCTTTGTTATGGCAACATTGAGGGCTTAGTTAAGTTCCCTGAAGGACTGGGTGGTCCTAAGGATGGTGGGATTCTTAGGCCAGCGAGATGGCAAAGTGAGTGGAAGGCACTTGCTGAGTTCAGTTCTCATGACTCCTAAAGGTGAAGAGAGAGCGGTTATGGGGGTGGGGGCAGGACGAGAGGAGGGAGGGGAAACTGTAGTCAGTATATAAAATAAATGGAAAAAAATGTTAATTAAATTTAAAAAGTGGAAGCAGGGAACCAACTCCTATAAGTTGTCCTCTGACTTATACACATACACACACATAGAGACACAGACACACACACAGACACACACATAGAGACACACACACACACACACACACACATAGAGACACACACACAGAGACACACACACATACACACCCAAGCACACACAAAGTAAATACTAACACATTTTTAAATTGAGAAAAATTTTAAGGCATTACGCTTGATCCTAACCAAATGGCCAAGAAGCAACAACATTATGACAAAGACACTGAAGTGTAGCTCTCTACAGCTTCTGGTGGGGACAGATTCAGTTTTGTTTTCTTTAGAGTCTGTCCTGGAACTCGCTCTGTAGACTAGGCTGACCTGGAACTCACAGAGATCTGCCTGCCTCTGCCTCCCAAGTGCTGGGATTAAAGGCGTGCGCCACCACTGCCTGCCTGACTCAGCTTTCTTTAAGGATCTGGCCACTGGGAGTTTGACCATGTTCCAATGAGTATATGGGCAACACGAGTTGGACTTGGTGTATTTTTTTTCTTTATTGGCGGGGGAGGGTACAGAGTGGATGGGGACCTGGGAGGAATGGGAAGCGAGTGTGATTGGGGTGTATTGTATTCAGTTCCCAAAGAGTCAATAAAATTACACTGGAAATAGTTATTTATGTGATGGGTGTTTGGCCTTATGTATATCTGTGCTCCCCATGCACTCAGTGCCCACTGCGGCCAGAGCTCCAGAACTGGAGTTCCAAAAGGTGGTGAGCTGCCATGTGGGTGCTGGGAATTGAACCTTTGTCCTCTGGAAGAGCAGCCAGTGCTCTTAACACCCAAGCCATCTCTCCAGACCCTTTTTTAAAGAGTTAGTACTCTAGATGGTGGGGCTCCATGCCAGTGCCCCTCCCTGAAAACAGCTGTCATTTATTATTGTCATTTAAATCTTTGCAGATGACCAAAAAGTCACCAGTAACAAGACATACAGCATCCAGCCAGTCATCTTTTCACAGAATGCTTCTTTTGTTTCATTTTTGGCAGCTTGCTGAGGCTGGAGAAGCCAGGCCCCACTCAGAGGCAGCTTCAAAGGCTCTTCCAGGGACAGGATGAGGGGGATCCCCATTGTACTCATCTCACCAAACATGCTTGCTGGCTGTCCCTGGTCTTGGAGTCTGGCCTAAGCCACAGCCTGCCCTGCGGCTTGTCCCTGCGGCTTGTCCCTGCAATGCTGAGTGCTCCCTGGTCGGTCTAATTTCCCAGTGTTGGTGTTTCTGAGAATTCCCAGTGGTCCAGACTACCAGGTCTACCAGGCAGCCGCTGTGTTCACCATTTCCTCCTGAGCTCGAGTGCTGGAGGAGGGTGACTTTCTCCTGCTTCAGATGAGCTTCCTCCACCTGTGGACTTCATTGGCAGTGACCTCATCACACAGGTGGGATCAAGTCAGAGGGCCTTCCCTATTCTTCTGTGTCTTCAGCAAGAGCACCCGACTTTGTTTCCAATATTCCAATAGCCATATTTCTCATTTTCAAAAATCACATATAATTAAAACAAACAAATAAATATTATATGATATTTTGTTTTAGTTCTGACAGATAAAGCTTGCCTGGAGATCAGAGGGTGGAACTAGCCACTAGTTAACCGAAGAGGCTTATCTTTAATCCCAGCACTTGGGAGAAGGAAGTCAGAGGATCAGAAGTTCAAGGCTACCCTGGGTGAACCAGTCTAAAAGAGAAACAGAGCCTGGGTGTGGTGGTTCACACCTTTGATCCCAGCACATAGGAGGCTCATGCTTTAACCCCATTCAGTCTGAGGATTCATGGAGATGGGTTCGCCCCCAGTCTGAGGTTTTGTAGAAACAGGTGCCCCTGTCTGAGTTCAGTCTGAGGATTTGGAGAGAGAAGTGACCGTGGCTGCTCCTTTGCTTCTCTGACCTTTCCACATTTACCTCAATATCTGACTCGGGGTTTTTATTGTTCCGACTAAATAGATTCATGCTTCAAACAAACAAACAAACAAACAAACAAAAATATTGCTGGGTGGTGGTGATGGATTAACAAGGGCCTTTGAGGTCCAGCCCCAGGTCTTTTTCAGGGTTCAGGTCAGATGCTATGGGAAGTGAAATGTCCTAGGTATCTGAGGGTGAATGGATTCTCTCACACCTGTGCTGCTCGGAAAGTCTCTTTCTTCTTCTGCATCTATTCTAATTCCTCCTGGCTTCTTCTCCTCTAGCCTCAATTCTCCCTTTCTTACAGAAGCCCTGAAGCAATAAAAGAAATTACAAGAGTAATTGTAAATTCTCATTGGTCAAAAGCACATTCCTAGGGTAAGCGCTAACTTGCTGAGCCATTCACGAGGACACACAAAGTTCCGAGGTTGCACGAATAAGACTGTGACCAGACTGGTGGGAGGGCACAGTGCCCAGTGACAAGCTTTGATACATGGGTCTATTGTCAGCGGACTTGGCAAGCGAAGAATTGGCATGCTTTTCTTAGGGTGCTTTGTGTTACAACCTTGGTTGGGCACCCTGTGACTATGTCCTTGTGCATAGCTGTAAAGTTTTAAACTTATGATTTATTTACAAAAAGCCTTTAGTCGAGTTGGAACTTGCTCTTAGATAAAATTAAACTAATTTGTGTGCGGTTAGTCTGAGCAAAAGGAACAAAGCAGGTTTTTCAGTGACTACAGTACTCGTGGGACAATAGAGCCAGTTATGAAGCCCATCCTAGTATACTTTCTATATATCAAAATTATGCAGCTAAATAAAAAGTCATCTTCCTGACCATCCACAGATATGTGTGCCCATTAGACTGAGATGTAATTGTGAGATTACATATACACATCACACGAGATTACACACTACAATGCAAGCATTGGAGAGACACCAAGTGTCTTAATAAATGTGAGCACCAGCTTCCAGAGTCAATGATCCTGCAGGTCTGGCCTGGACAGGATTAGCCTCCATCAGAGACTCACTCCTCTGGTAGGTTGACATCTGAATTATCAACTGTCATATGCTGTGTATTTTCATCGCCTTTGACAGAGCATGACTTTGATCTCAGTACTTGGAAAGCAGAGGCAGGCAGATCTCTGTAAGTTCAAACCAGCTTGGTCCACAGAGCAAGTTCCAGGACAGCCAGGGCTGCACAGAGAACAGTAAGCAATACATAAAATAAATTTTATTTTATTTATATATAAAAACAATAAATAACAACTAACAAAATATAATAAAATAAAATACTGCTTTTGACTATGGAATAAAACCATAAAGATCTAAAAAATGATAAATAATAAACAACCAATTAAGAGTCGTGGGCTCTCCCTCATTGCAGTGGTAAAGGGAGGGGCACAGAACCAGGGAGGGCCACTGTGAATCAGTGAGGAGTTGTGTTTAAATGGGCACAGGAGAGGTGGAGTTATTATGTGAGTTTGTGTGTCTTTGGGATTTCTAGAACATTTGTATTTCATGGACAAACTTCTAAAGGGTCATGTACT